CATGAAAAAACTTCATCCCTAGCTGGTGTAGTTTAGTGGATTGAGCATGGGCTGCAAACCAAAGGGTTGCCAGTTTGATTCCCAGTCAGGGTACCTGCTTGGGTTGCAGGCCAGGTCCCCAGTGGGGGCCACATGAGAGGCAACCACACATTGGTGGTCCTTTCCCTCTTTTTTTCCCTTCCTTCCCCTTTCTCTAAAAAAAAATAAAATATTTAGAAAAAACTTCAAGGATGCCAGCACTGAAACACATACACGCAAAATGGGAGGAAGTATGTAGTAGTAAAGACCCAGTTCCTGAAGTCACACTACCTAAGCGTAAAAATCAGTTTTGCCACTTGCTAGCTGTGTAACCTTGAGCAGAACCTTGTTTTTTTGTGCCTCAGTTTCCTCATTTATATATATATATCACATGTGCAGTGCTCAGAATACTTACTTGGTTTATGACAACACTCAGATATTAGCTACTGGTAGCAACAGTGAAAGTGGAATGGCTGCTGAAATCCGTGTACTGGCAAACAAGAGAGATGATATTCAACATTAAATGAGTCATTGCATTTGGGCGACATATCTTAGTAAGAAGAACTTGTCGATAAAGCATCTTACAATGTATCTGTACTGCGTATTATCCAAACTGCACCGCATTTGGCTCCAAGTTTAATTATATGTATGTCTCCATTCCACATATGAACATGGTCTCTAACCAAAATCTAATGCAAAACAAGAGTTGCAAACCCAAAAGCGGTCAGTTCTGTTTCTCTGTCTGGGCTTATTTTCCAAAATAGCTTTCTCTGGTTAACTATTCCCCAGAAACCTAAAGGACAGAACGGAGATCGAGAATTAGACGACTTGCAGCTATGTCTTGGCTTCATTTCAAATTCAACCAGCTGCCTTTCAGAAAGTCAAATTTAGAGATATTCAAACATAAAATGGGGAAAACAGCTTGCTTTTGCATTTCCATGACAGTGTAAAAAGCACACACAACTCACATATCTGAGAAACAAGTTTCATACAAAACCAGCCATTGATACCCACCCAGCGCTCCCCTGCTAATACCGTGATAAATCATAAAAAGCCTACTTTTTCTCCTTCCTCCTCCTATCTATTTTATCCTCTTGATTCCCACAGTTAGGTCCCAATCAGATGGACTTTGATGAATATGAGTCCAATTAGAGTGTAAAGGCTGGAAAACAGCACCATTATACAGTAAAGTACAGTTAAGTGCATGTGATGGTTAATTTTGTGTGTCAATTTGCCTGGGCCATCAGCTGCTCAGATATTTGGTCAAACATAACTCTGGGTGTTTCTGTGAGGGTGTTTATGAATGAGATCAACATTTAAATCAATAGAGTGAATAAAGCAGATTGTGCTAGGAAATGCAGGTGGGCCTCATCCAATCAGTTGAAGATTTAAGCAGAATAAAAGGTTGACCCTCTGCTGAGTAAGAATTTCTCCTGCTTGATGGCCTTTCAACTGAAGTATCAGCTTCCAGCCTGCCAGCCTTGGGACTTAAACTGGGATATCAGGTCTGCAGATTTGGGACTTTTCAGCTTGCATAATCGAGTAAGCCAGTTCCTTATCGTAAATCCCTTTAGATATACTCCTGCAGTTCTGTTTCCCTGGAAAACCTTGATACAGAGCAATGCCATTATTATACTGAAACACTGCAGATAAAACTTGAGTGAATTCAGTTGATGCTTGAAAGCCAAAGGGAAGGTAGGGTTTTTCTAATAACAATGAAAGTCATATATAGATATACATTCAAGTCTCTGTATTTATGGCTGAATTAAAAAATACATGTATAGTTCTTTAGAACACACATCATTTTCTAGTGGTTTCTTTTCTATTCCAACTTGCAGTTTGGGGGATTTTTTGGCTTTAATAAATGAGTCACTTATACAGATGAGAGTTCTGCCTAAACATAGTGAACCAAGAGGGATAGAGGCGAAATAAATAGGTTTGTTTCCTTGGGCAACTTGGTCATTAAATTTTATAGAATACCATGGAGATTTAAAAATATTTATTTTGTATATTTATATTTAGAGAAAGGGGAAGGAAGGAAAAGAGAGAGGGAGAGATACATCAATATGTGGTTGCCTCTCATGCACCCTCCCGCAACCCAGGCATGTGCCCTGACCGGGAATCAAACTGGTGACCTTTTGGTTCACAGCCCCACACTCAATTCACTGAGCTACACCAAGCGGGGCCTGTGGAGAATCTTACATCTTTTAACTATGTCCTCAGATCATGTCAAAAGCAGGCCACTGCCTACATAAGGACAATGAAGGGCAGAAAGGCCTCATGTAAGATGGGACAGTGTCCTGAGGACAGAAGATAGACCACACGAAGAATTGAAACTGGAGATAATAGGTAAACATGAGTAACGCTTTAGCAAGAGCTAGGGAAAGTGAATTAGGAAAATCATCTTGGAGTAATTTGGGCTCATTATAACAAAAGAGCAAACCATCAGTTACTGCTGAAGGGCCTTCCTTGACCTTTGTCTCTTTTCCCTGCTTGTTTGGTCACGTGGCTTTTCTGTTCAGGGTAGAAGCCGCGGCAGCTGCTGCACCCTACAGCTGTTTCAGCCCTTCCTTCTGTCTCGAAGAATATTCTGCAGCGAATGCTGGTTTTCTTTGGGCCACAGACCAGCTGAGTGGTTGGGGGGCATCTTGTCTCAAATACAGAAACTTCCCTAGGGAAGGGTTACACCAGTCTCCATGTTCCAAATAATTTTACCTAAGAGGTAGCATCCAAGTGACAGGATCTAATTGTTTTAGTATCATCACATTTTGAATGATGTAAATATTTTCTTCTTCCTTATTTTCCCTTTTCTCTATGGGTATGGACATAGAGAGGACTTAGTTATATTTCGATTTCTTCTTTTATTATTTTCAGGCCTATAATTTTCACCAATTGGGAGACAAGATCCAGAAGGGCTCGCAGGCCAGCTACTAGCAATGCTTGAAAAGGTAGATATATCTTGAGTCAGAAAATGGGAAAAATATTCAAAATTTTTAAACATTTTTTTATTGTTCGAGTAGTTTTCTGCCTTTCCCCCCCTCCTCCCCACCCCCATCCTATTTCTACCCCCCCATTGTTATTGTCCGTGTAGCATATTCAGGTTTTTAAAAATTTTTTATTTTATTGATTATGCCATTACAGTTGTTCCATTCCCCCCTTCATTCCCCTCCACCCTGCACACCTCCACCATTCCCCTCCATTTATGACATGTCTCAAATTCTTCAGATTCTATATTTCCCCTACTATTCTTGCCCTCCCCCTATCTATTTTCTACCTACCGTCTATGCTACTTATTCTCTGTACCTTCTCCCCCCTTCTCCTCCTCCCACTCCCCTGTTGCTAACCCTCCACGTGATCTTCATTTCTATGGTTCACTCCTGATCTACCTGTCCTCTTAGTTTGCTTTTGTTTTAGGTGTGGTTGTTAACAACTGTGAGTTTGCTGTCCTTTCACTGTTCATATTTTTTATCTTCTTTATCTTAGGTAAGTCTCTTTAACATTTCATATAATAAGGGCTTGGTGATGATGAACTCCTTGAATTTGATCTTATCTGAGAAGCACTTTATCTGTCCTTCCATTCGAAATGAAAGCTTTGCTGGATAGAGCAATCTTGGTTGTAGGTCTTTGGTTTTCATGACTTGGAATACTTCTTTCCAGCCCCTTCTTGCCTGTAACGTCTCTTTTGAGAAATCAGCTAACAGTCTGATGGGAACTTCTTTGTAGGGGACTGTCCCCTTATTTCTTGCTGCTTCTAGGATTCTCTCCTTCATTTTAATTTTGGCTAATGTAATGATGATGTGCCTTGGTGTGTTTCTTCTTGAGTCCAACTTCTTTGGGACTCTCTGAGCTTCCTGGATTTCCTGGAAGTCTATTGCCTTTGCCAGATTGGGGAAATTCTCCTTTATTATTTGTTCAAATACGTTTTCTACTGGTGGCTGTTCCTTTCCCCCTTCTGGTACCCCTATAATTCGGATGTTGGAGTGTTTAAAGATGTCCTGGAGGTTCCTAAGCCTCTCCTCATTTTTTTGAATTCTTGTTTCTTCATATTTTCCTGTTTGGTCATTTTTTCCTTCCTTCTGGTTCACTCCCTTGATTTGAGTCCCAGTTTCCTTTTCATCACTATTGGTTTCCTGTGTAATTCCCTTCATTTCAATTAGTTTAGCCTTTATATGTTCCTCTAATTTGTGACTAAAATCAACCAGTTCTGTGAGCATCCTGATCACCAGTGTTTTGAACTGTGAATCTGAAAGTTTTGCTATTTCGCTGGGTTGTGACGCTGTATGTGGGGGCGGGGTCAGAACGGGGAAATGGTAGCCCTCTCTGCTGCCTCCTGCCGCTGGGGCCTGCTCGGTTCCATCTCACTGCCCGTTCCATCTCACTGCCCACTCCCTCGCCGGTCTATCTGCGCAGGAATGCGCCACCAGTCAACCCACTGCCCTGCACCCTCACTGGGTCCTCTGGTCCCTCACTGGGTCCGCCCTTTGCAGCCCCACGCCTGGGATCCGAGGGCCTGAGTCCATCTGACCGAGTTTTCCCGTGCAGCCCCGCTCTGCCAACTGCTGGCTTCGTCCCTCTTACTGGTCAGGCTGAAGAATTCATTGTTATCAGACTTCTGAAAAGTTCCAATTTTCTGTGTCCTGGCTGTGTTTTCTGTTGCTAATATTTTGTTGTCTCTAAACTTGGTTGTGTGAGAAAGCACGGCGTATCTACCTATGCCTCCATCTTGGCAGAAGTCCAGGTTTTTTTTAAGTGGTAGCATTTCCAAATAGTATTTGGGATGTTACATCAAATACTGAATTGGTACTAGGCAGCTGGTACTTACTAGTAAATTAATAGATAAGCAGAAAAACATTCGCCTTCACTTTTAAAGAAGGCGTTTTTTTTTTAAAAGTACAGTCTCCACTTCCACAATACTCTTCAACAATCAGCATAGGATAACACTTGAACAAACTCACATAAATGGCCAATAACTACCACGAATACAAGATTTATTTCCCATTTATTTATGATATTTCAGGGGTTTGTACCAGTGCATAAAAACCAATTTTCCTCTCATATAAAGTGAATGTTAATCCACTATTATCTTCAGAATCGTTGTAATAAAAATTCTTCCTGAAAAGGGTAATACAAAAGAGAACTTCGAGGTCTCAAAAGTTGTGCAGAAGTTATAATAATTGGCATTAAAAACAAACAAAAATAAACAAACTACTGAAGGCTTGGCTCTCATTCTTTTTCTGATATTTGGCTTCTAATCTCTCCCTTAAGACAGTGGTTTTTAAAGTCTGGTGTGCATCAGAATCACCTGGAGAACTAACAGGAAAGGCCTGGGTCTCTGCAACTTGGTACCAAGTTCTCCAGCTTGGTTTGCTTTCAGACCAGACTGATCAAAGTCACCTGGGAAACTTGGAAAAATAGCAAATTCCAAGGCTTCACCCCCAGAAATGTTCATTCAGTAAGTTTGAGGCTGGGCCCAGAAATCTTAAAACCCTAGCTGATTTAGCAGTTAAATTAGCTAATGATTTTCTACCTACTCCCATCCCCAGACAAAAGTCTGTACATAACATTCATTTCCTCTGGCTGTTAAGTGCTAGTCACCCAGACTGCTCCTACGCAAGTTGCCCCACAGGGTTTTGTTCTAGTAAACCTCTCCCTCTTCTTCCATTCGCAACCTCAGAGCTGCAAGAAACAGGCAACCGGCTCCACTGGCAGTGTTATGCATCAGGACATCAACCCAGGAACCTGCAAACCCTGCCCCTACCCTACACTACGGGGACAATTAGACCCTGATGTGAGAAGTAATTTCTCTGTGGAAAGAAAATCTCTCATCATACAAAATAGTGAAAAGCTTGACTATTCTTTTTTTGCCCTCACCTGAGGATATGTTTATTGATTTGGAGAGAGGGAGATCGACTGGTTGCCTCCCATATGTGCCCAACTAGTGCTCAAACCTGCATCCTAGGTCCTAGGTATGTGCCCCGACCAGGGATTGAACCTACAACATTTTGTGTGTGTGTGTGTGTGTGTACATAGGACGATTCTCCAAACAACTGAGTCACCTGGCCAGAGTAAGTGACAAGAGAAAGCTACCGTATTTTTGGACTATAAGACGCATGCCCCCTTCCCTGCCCGCCCCAAATTTGGGAGGAATAATAGTTGTTAATGTTGCTGTTGAGTTCTGTTTACATTTATATTGGTGAAATATTGTTATTAAATATTTTACATATTTTGCTTCAAAAATTTTTTCCCTATATTCCTCCTCTAAAACCTAGGTGCATCTTATGGTCCAAAAAACATGGTAATTATGACTTCAGAAGTTTAAAAAATACAGTGACTTCTGAGTCACTTCCAAGTAGCCCAAAACTCAAAGACATCCAGTTCCACTCCTTCTGCATCTCAAAATCAGATAGTTACAGTAAATTCAAATTCCAAGACAGAATCTGAAAGCCTGACCTGCAAGGAATTTGGGAAATGACCCTTGATTTCATTTTCCTCTCAATCTGAAGTCATATCAGATTGCTATCTCAACATACATCACATGGAAATATAAGCTCAAAGGCAGCTGATAATTATGATTCTTAAGACACAGATACTGATTTCTAATCCTTCCCACAAAGCCCCAGATCACAAACTGAGTGACGAGATGACCTTGTACAAGAGGCACTACCTGGGCCATGTAAGCCAGCAGCAAGTGAGAACCAAGTTGAGGGAGATGCAGAAATGCACCTGGGCCTCCGGTGTCACTTCTTGGTGATGATAGCCCTTCTTACTGGCCAGTCAGCAGGAGACAGTTCAAATGTACTTAATTAAATTGCTGAGTGGGCAACCAAAGGGAAGGGGTTAGAACTGGGAGGCAAAGCATGCAGAACACTCCTAGCAGCAGCCCCAACTGGAGGAGGGTTTGGTTTGTAGGTTGATATAGTCCCCTTGGGTGGACAAAGACACATCTTCTCTGAAATTGCTCATCATCTTTTCGATGAGGACTCTGAAAAACAAATAAAAATAAGTCTGAAAAGCTATACTGAGGAAAGGCAGAAACAGCAGATATTGTCTGTCTTAACACCAAATGCCATTTCAGGAAAGCCACAAAGTTTGTCCCCAGTTACTGAAGAGAGAGGGCAGCATCCCTGGCCTTCGGAAGCTGGTATTCCAGTCTGTTCTTATTTGCTCAGAAACAAGAAGAGAAGGTCCAACGGGCTGCAGTGGGAGATGGGCACATCTGTGTGCCCATGAGCTACTCACCTCATGGCCTCATTAATATTTTTGTTCTCCTTGACCGATGTTTCTGTCCATCCTATGAAACCGTTCTCCTTACTGAACCGGTCAACCTGGTCTCGGCTAACTGCCCAAGGGGACAGATCACACTGGCAAGGACAGTAAATAAAAAGCAACACCATAAACTTTCTGGGAATAGGAATACAGCTCAGATACCTGTGGATTTAAAACCTTTCCACTAGTGGCTAAGGACAGCAGCATCTAAAATCTACATTCAACATTCTTCCCCAAGAAAGTCTCAACATCCTTTGAAAGGAGGCAGAGAGGATTTTGCCAGCTTGTGAAGGGAAATTGGATGTCCAGACCCAAAGAGCATTTTACACAGCTTGCTCTCCCACCAAAGACTGCGGCCAGTGGCCATTTTCCTAGATTGACCGAGTACCTTGTTGGCCAAGAGCAGGCAGGGCACAGGCTTCCCATTGGGCAGCGTGAGCTTGCTGTCCAGGTCCTGTTTCCATTTCTGGCTGTTGCTGAAGGTAGTGGCATTGGTAACATCAAACATAATAACACAGGCAGAGGCATCCCGGTAGTATAGTCGTGTCATGGACGTGAAGCGCTCCTGTCCTGGAAGGAGAGGGCCGTTCTCTAGGGGGTGATCCTGGGAACCAGTCCCAAAGCCCCTTCTAACACCCTGCCCTTTCTGCCTTCGCTGCGGGACAGAAGACACCGTGCATGGCACTTGAGTCCGGATGCTGTGCGCAGATTCTCCAAGTCTAAATCCCTGCTCTGTCACTTACTATTTATGTGACTTTGGACAAGTTGAGCTTTCAATGGCTAATTATTTCCCATCTGTAAAGTAGGGACAGAAGAAGTAGCTTTATCATAGGGTCGTTGTAAGGAATAATGAGCCAGTGAACCTAAAATGTTTAGAAAAGTGCTTGACACATAATAAGGGTTAGTTATTATTATTGTCTCTATTTTCTGGGTAACTGGTTTCTCACCAAGGGTCGCCGAAAACCTGGAAAACGCACACTTCTGCTGCTGTAGGCAGGAGCATCCACCCACAGCCTGGACAGTCCGCCACCTGGCCCGGCCCTCCACCTCCACAGATACTGCTTTCCATTTGTTTATTTAGGACAAGACGTCTGCAGAAAACACCTACAAAAGTTCTATGTCTATTCAGCTCATGCATCCTCAGAGCAGCTCCACTGACCTTTCCAGCTTCAGGAATACAACTTCTGGTTTTACTGCTCCATGTTTTTCTCTGGGAGCTGGCTGGTTAAACCGAAATTTCACCCCTTGTTCCTATTCAGTCTCTGCAGCGTACCTGCAATATCCCACAGCTGGAGCCTCACCATCTCTGAGTCAGACCACTGGAGAACCTTCAGAGCGAAGTCCACTGAAAATATATGCATAAATATGTTGAATAAAATTTACCTTTAAACAACCCAGAAAAACTTTAGATCAAATATGCCGTTACAGCACTAGGGATACACAACTCCTATTTATTTATTCATTTAATTTTTAAGCCCTCACTGAGCTGAGCCCACACTCAGGTATGAAGTATAGGACAGCTCATTTACACTCACTCTCAGAAGGGAGTTTTTTACTCTTGCTCTCTTGTCAAACCAATTTATTTGATACTACTTCTCCCCAAGGCTGGAGACAGGATGGTGGAGGTAATTATGAAAACAATCCCTAATCACAGCCAGGGGTATCCGACCCTAGAGGGCTGCACGCAGCCCAGATGGCTATGAATGGGGCCCAACACGAAATCGTAAATTTACTTAAAATCTTTTTTTTTGCTCATCAGTTTTTGTTAGTGTTTGTGCATTTAATGCAGGGTCCAAGACAACACTTCTCTTTCCAGTGCGGCCTGGAGACACCGACAGGTTGAACACCCTTGTAATCTGGGAGACTCAGGGGTTTTCTCGGGGGAAGGAATGATGGGGTCCTGAAAGGGGGAAATCCCTTCTAAAGGGAAGTGTGGTGTCTTTTGACTCTTCCACATTCAATTTGACTCTTGGCTCGTAATACAATTGTATTATGATAAAAACGCACCCTTGGGGGAATTCTACACCCTCCATAAAGCACAGAGATTATTTTGGGCAGGAATTCGATAAAGTGAAAAGATCCCAAAGGATTCTCAGAAAGAAGACACGGTACAGATGATGCTTAAGAATTGTGCTGGCTCCATTGGTTGGGGTGTTGTCCAGTAGACCACAGACCCAAAGGGCATGGGTTCAATTCCCAGTTGGGAATGGAGAAGGCAATCTCTCAGTGTTCTTCTCCCACATCAATGTCTCTTTTCCTCTCTCTCTCTCTCCTTGCCTTTCTCTCTCTCTAAAAGCAATGACAAAATGTTCTCAGGCAAAGAAAAATAAAGTAAAAAAGTTGTGCTGGAATACATGCACTGCAACACATGCAGATGCTGAGACCCCACGAGTTAAGGCTCAATGAGTATGCCAGCGGGAGAAAGCTTTTTGATAAGGAGAGAAACAGGATCATTTCTGAGGTTTGGAAATATATTCTTCCACAACTGTGACAGAAATAAGAGCTAGGGAGAATTTAGAATAAATACTGAAAAAAATTAGCCAGAATCACATATATTCTTGTTTTTTTTAGATTTTATTCATTTATCTTTACAGGGAGAGGGAAGGAGAGAGGGAGAGAAATATCAGTGTATGGTTGCCTCTTGTGTGTTCCCCGCTGGGAACTGGCCCGAAATCCAGGCATGTGCCTTGGCTGGGAATTGAAATGCAATGCCTTAGTTATCAGGCCTGTATTCAATCCACTGAGTCACACCAGCCAGGGCACGTATATTCTTTACTAAAGGAAAACTAGAACAATTGGTAAAAACTAATTAGCGGGACATTTTAAAACCAAATCCATGAAATATGGACCCTCATATCATTTAGGAGTTGGGGGGCAGAGTGGTTTGAAACTTTAAACTTTAAATTCTGCTGGATGTTTCTTTTCTTTTTTAAAGATTTTACTTATTTATTTTAGAGAGGGGAAGGGAAAGAGAGGGAAGAGAACATCAATATGTGACTGCCTTTCTCGAGCCACTTACGAGAGACTCAGCCAGCAACCCAGGCACATGCCCCAACTGGGAATCAAACAGGCAACCCTTTGGTTGGTTCACAGGCCCATGCTCAAGTCACTGAGCTATACCAACCAGGGCTTGCTAGATGTCCTTACGAAGGATGTTTTAATTGCAATGTAAATGTTTGTTAACTTGTTAAAATTTTGTGATGAATACCAGCACACATTTTCAAAATTTACATTGGAGCAAGATGTTGGTTACTCTCTCCCTTCACCAACTCTGCCCAGCTAAGCACCTTCTACTTAACAAAAGGGCATTTCCAACTCCTGAAAAAAGAGTCCGAAGGATCACACCTGTAAAGAAATAAATGAACTCTTAAGGTGCTTGCTGGCTTCCTTCCTTCCTTCCTTCCTTCCTTCCTTCCTTCCTTCCTTCCTTCCTTCCTTCCTTCCTCTCTAAACCAGTTGAAGAGAAAAAGGGGTGGGAAATAGGTCAAAGACGTAGTGTATATCACAATCTTGAAGCATTCCTAGGTTGCCCTTATTTAAGCAATCAGTGGGCAATAAACACCCAGCTCATCAGCCCTGAGAGGCATCCAATTGTGTGGCCTACAGGCTTTCCCACACAGACATCCCACAAACAAAGCTAGGCCAGGTTAAATGCCTTCCTGCTGCCTGCAACTGCCTGGAACTTCGTGAGACGAAGGGCAGCAGCCCCGGCTGCCACTTCTTCACCAGGCCCTCCACGGGGTCTCAGCTGCCTCTGCTGGTCTGAGATTTGCCCAAGACCGTCTGGGGATGCTGCCTGCAGGAAGAGACCTGAGCTCCGAGTTCCCTCACGGAGGGCGGCAACTGTTCATTTTCTCCTCCTCCCTTCCCTACACTTCATCTTCACATCTCCGCTCGGTCTCTTCTCGGGCAATCAGCTCAGGCTAGGAAATCCTAACTGAGGAAACCCAAAAGAGGCGCGTAAATCACATATCCGCAGTTAGCCTCTCTAGGATCCCAGGCACCGAGCAAAGACCCAACGACAACAGATCCCCAGCTACCTCCCCACTAGAGTCCACATCTCGAGTCCACCCCTGCCCGCCGCGACGTCTCACCTCCCACCGTGGACTTGTAGTGTTTGCTGAAGCTGTCCTGAGAGTATCTTTGCACCAAGGACGTCTTGCCCACTGCGGCGTCCCCCACCACCAGCACTTTGAACAGGTGGTCGCGGCTGCCCATGGCCAGCTGGGTGGACGTCTGAGGGAGGCGGGAAGTGGGGGCGTCGGTTTTAACCCCTTTAGCTCCTGACCCCCTTCAAACTGAAGTTCGGCATTCCGCCCACCGCCTGTTGGGGCTGCTCTGACAAGAAAGCAAAAAGGGAAACTTGGCACTCGACCTTTACGTGCTTCCTCCCGGCGTGGCCGCAGCCTGGGTGGGGCACCGGGCGCAGGGCGCGAGCTCCGAGCCCCCAGCTGTTTGCACCTTCTCTCCACCCGGCCGGACTTGCCGGGAAACGGAAGGAGGCTTGGCAGTGTATCACCCGCCGGGACCTTCCCGGAGCGGCCCCAGCGAGCGACTAAACTTGGCCAGGTTATTTCCCGGGTTTGGCAGAAGATGGGGGCCCTCCCTCCCCTGAACAAACCAATCTCGGAGGAAGGAGCAACTCACGCCCTCGCTACCCCTACCCGGCCGGCGCAGTCTCTCTCCCCACTCCGCACGGGTCACGTGCAAAGTTGCTTAGATAACTACATTTCCCAGTTTACCTCTCGGTGAAGAGAACCAGTCAAGTGCGGAGACTGCCCGCTAGGACCTCCTGGGAAATGTAGTTTATGCAGTTTGCTTTTAAAAATTTACACAAAGTTTCAAGGCTTTCGAACTCATTCAGCCTTTCGGAATCTTATTTTAAAATAATTTTGGGATAGAAAAGATTCTTAAGAGAGATTAGTTCCACATGATTTCAGGTGCCTGGCTGTCCCTGGATAGGTTTCTTATTATATTTAAAGGTTTTTATGGAGCTAAGATTAAAAATTATTCCATAGATTCCCTAAATTATTCCACTAATATAAGATCAAGCCTCATCACTCATGCTCCAAGTGAAGTCCGTTTCCTATTCTTTCAAGTAGTTACACAAACCCAGGATCTTGTGAACATGATAGAAGCCAACTCTTACATTTCCTCCATGACCCCAGTATCGCATCAATCAAGTTCAGGGACACTTGATCAAGAGATTGACCCTTACAAAATATCATGCTGTTAATGTTAGTTATTAACATTAGTAAACGTTAATAATGATTATGCTAGCCACAGCAATAAAGATAGACAGAAAATAAGAGTTCCTCATTCTCACTTCCACATCCCCAGTTCAGCTACACTGCTCATATATCATTTGAGCTAGAAGGTAATTTGGAGGACGTTGAAAGTCCTCCTCCATTTGTGGCTTCCGTCGCTCGTGAATAATAATTACACTATAGTTTTACAAATAATTTTGATTTTTCAACCAGTAATTCTTTTGACCTGCCTGTCATTTAGGTAAGAGGTAAGGGGATAATGAGCTTCAAGGCGAGCAGAATAAGCCCTGTTGCATGTGCATTTCTCCAGAATGGAAGGGGAAGCAGCAGGGCCCAGGGAAAACAGCCCTGCCCAGATTTCCTGACAGAGAGGCTACCACTCAAACATTCCATAAGGAATAAACGTCAGCATGGTCCACAGCTTATTTAGCCCAAAATGTTTGTTATGCAGGCAGGAGAGGTCAGGCTGGGCTACTCACGTTCCAGGACATCTCAGATGTCTTTCCGATGGTCTTTGCTTACTTCCCACTGGCTTTGATGTAGTTGACCGCTCCCTGGAGTTTGTTTCTCGCATTGCTCCTGTGACACTGTTCTTCCTCGTTTGCTCTTTTTCTGATAATCACCTTTCCACCTTCATGGTTTCTTCCCATCCTATCGTCTCATAAACGAACATTTCCTTAGGTCCCTGAGCTGATCGTCCTTCAAACTCTTTATTTAGTAAATTGCCATTGGCCCCAAATGTCTGCCTGAGTCTCGACTTTATTTATGTATTTATCGCCAATCGATTGTGTTCAACTGCCGTAAAGGTACATCTGCGTGGAAGTCCTGCCACAGCTTCCCTCCCACTACATCACCACGAAAGCCGCTCCTTTCCTCAGCTTCCCTGTTCCTGTCACTGTCTGCATTATATCTTCCCTCCACTCAGGTTTTAGACCTCACGCATTTTTTTAAAAGATTTTTTATTGTAGGAGGAATTCTTAACATTAGATCTACACTTTTAACAACTTTTTTAAAAAAGGTTTTATTTAGTTATTTTTAGAGAAAGGGGAAGGGGAGAGAGAAAGAAAGGGAGAGAAACACCAGTGTGTGGTTGGCTCTCACCTGCCCCCCACTAGGGACCTGGCCTGCCGCCCAGGCATGTGCCCTGACTGGGAATTGAACCAGCGTCCCTTCAGTTTGCAGGCTGACACTCAGTCCACTGAGTTCCACTAGCCAGGGCCACTTTAAACAAATTTTAAAGTGTGCAATACAGGTATAAGTCTTCACAAAAGATCTCTAGAATTATTCATCTTGCTTAATTGAAACTTGTGTACCTTGATTAGTAACTCCCTATTTTTTCCTCCCCCAGCTCTTTTTAAAAAATATATTTTATTTATTTATTTTTAGATGGAGTGGAAGTATGGGAAAAAGAGAGGGAGAGAAACATCAATGTGTGGTTGCCTCTCACGTGCCCCCAACTGAGGATCTGGCCTGCAATCCAGGCATGTGCCCTGACTGGAAATGTACCAGCCATCCTTTGGTTCACAGGCTGGCGCTCAATCCACTGAGCCACACCAGCCAAGGCTCCCTCCCCCAGCTCTTAACAACCACTATTCCATTTTTTTGATTCTATAAATTTGACTGTTTTAGATACCTTATCTAAGTGGAATCATGCAGTAGTTGTCTTTCTGTGACTTGGTTGTTTCATGTAGCATAATGTCTGTAAGTTTCATCCATGTTGCTTCTTGTTACATAATTTTTTCTTTTTAAAGGCTGAGTAATAGTCCATGCATGCATATACTACTTTTCTTTATCTATCTGTTGATGGACATTTAGGTTGTTTTCATATATTGGCCATTGTAAATAGTGCTGAATTAGGAATTATGTCTCTTCAAGATCTGATTTCAATTTTCTTGGATAAATACCCAGAAGTGGGATTGCTGGATCATAAGGTAGTTCTATTTCTAATTTTTTGAGGAACCTCCATACCATTTTCCATAATGGTGATGTTACAGAACAGACCAGGGCAGGGGGTGCTGAACGATATACAAGACCCCCCTTTTCTCTGGGGGTTCCTTTCCACCTATTGGGTTTGTTTTGCCTGCTGCCTGAGGGAAGATATCTCTTAATATCAGAGATTAGTGAAAAGGAAAGGAATTTATTATTTATTTGAAATAATACAAACTAAAGTTCTCCACAAATACACACAGTCCTCCAGGCACCCTCCACATGGCAAAAGGAAGCGCTTTGAAAGCCGCGTGGTCCCAGTCAAGACACCAAAGCCTAGTGGTCCTAAACAAACGCATGGTCCCCAAAAGAGAGCTGTCAAATGGCTGCCATCCCTCCCTTTAAATCCCAGCACCAATCTTCCTCTGCAGCCCCATTTCCAGCTCCTCCCACAACTGGCCACAGCCGCCAGCTTTCCAGGTGGGTGTGGCCCTGTGGTGTGGAGCCAATCATCTCCAAGCTCTTCGGGACTCTCTTACAAATCCCTGTTTGGGGCCCCCTCTTGGCTGCACCCTGTTACAGTAACATCATTTTGCATTCCTGTCAACAGTGTGCAAGGGTGCCAACTTCTCCACATCCTCCCCAACAGTTGTTGTCTTTTGGTTTTTCCATAATAGCCATCCTGACAGGTGTGAAGTGGTATCTCATTGTGGATTTGATTTGTATTTCTCTGATGATTAGTGATGCTGAATATTTTTTCATATACTTGTTGGCTACTCGTATGCCTTCTTTGAAGAAGTCTGTTAAATCTTTAGCCAACTTTTTCATGTTACTAGTGTTTTTTGGTACTGCAAAAAGAAAATTGAGTTATTAATATTTCCTTTTACACATAGGCCTGTATAACCCCCTCCCTTTAAAAAAGCCAGTCACCACATCCTACTGATTCTTCCTTCATAAACAATTCTCCCACCCATTCTTTCTGCTTCATATCCAGTGCCGCTTCCATTATCTCACACCTGGATCATCTTCGATGACCTGCTTCTCGGTCTCCGGGATTCTAATTTCTCCTGCCTTCCATTCATCCTACGCAACTGGCCAGGATGGTTTTCCTAAAACATCATTGTTTGTTCCTTCATTCTCTACCAACTATCCCCAAACTGGCCAACCTCCCTGAGCTGGTGTCCCGAGTTTTCCAGGCACTGGCCCCACCCTGCCTAACCAACTTTATCTCATCTTATCTCAAACAGACTCTTCTACCCTCTAACAGGTCAGATTCTTTGTACTCTTTAAAAGACCAATTTCATTTTTCACTTGGTGTCTTTGCCTAGGGTGCTTCACCTACCAGAAAACCTTTCAGGCTTTGTTTTTTAACCAGTATTTTACCACAGTTGAAGTTCTTAAGGACTCTAATTAAATGTGGACATTCTGATTCTGTAGGGCCTGGGGAGGGTCCACAGGAATCTGCCTTTTTTCTCAATACTCAGGTACTTCCTAGATCAGTTTCCACTTTGAAAAATGCTGCCTTAAGCCCTGACCTAATTTATAAACAGTTCCTTTATTATTGCAGCCCTGAGTGATTATGTAGCCTTTACAATCTGTTTGAATTATGGTTGGTTAACTATGTCAACTATGTAACAATTTATAATTATTTAATTTATAAGCAACCAGCATATTGCAAAGTAAACAAAGACTTCAAATACAAAAATTTGGCCCAGTGTCTGTGAGAGGAACTACTAAAAGCTTCCCTAATCAGAAAGGTGAGGAGTGAAGATTTAAGAGGGAAGATTAGCAAGTTCCTAGTTCCTCCCCTAGTCCCACCATTCCTTTGGTCGGGGTGGGGTGTATTTCTTCGATAGTAAGTTGCAGTTTCCCAGAGAGAGTTTAATACAAGAGAGGGAAAGCACACTCAGGGTGCCAAACAACCGACTGGCATATATGTGATCGGAACACCATTTTTGGGAAGCTGGCAGAAGTGGTCAGCCTTACTTTGTTATGGTCACAATTCCTATAGGTTCTGCCTCTCCTTTTTACTTCTTACTCTTCATTTAAAAAAAGCTCAAACCCATAGAAAAGATAAAAGAAGAGTACAATGCATATCAGTGTGTCCTTCGTCTGGATTCCCGAAGACTAGCACTTTGCCGCGTCTGCTTTGTCTTTGTGTGTGGTAGACAGTTTGAAGGTGCATCACACTAAATACTTCAGCAACAGCGCCTAACCCTGAAGTTCTTCTACAAAACCAAAGTACCATGATCATGTCTAAGAAAATTAGCATTAGCTCAATAATATCAGAAACAGTTTACATTTACATCTATAGCCCTCAGAGTATTTCTTTCACAGCCATCCAGAATACACAGTTTCATGCATTATGTTTGGTTGTTTTATTTGTCAGTCTTTTTAAATCAAAACTGTGCTGTGTCTAGTAGCCATGTGTGGTTATTTCAATT